AAATTTGGGAATACATAATCCCTCAGACAAAGGAGTTCGGTCTCTCTTGGCACTTTTGGCTCTTGTGGCTCTCCTTCCCTCTGGTTTTCCTCCTGCTTCCCTGCATTTGCTGGTGTTCCTAATAGCTGCATGGCACATGGCTATGCAGACACCACATGCAATGGACTGATGGACTGCAGCTGGGAACACAAGCTAAGCTAGCCTGATGCTGGACTGGACTATGCTCCAACATGGAACAAAAATTGGTCAATGGCTTTGATTTAGCCCTACTAAAGGCACAGCTGGACTTCTTCCTTGGTGGGATGAAGGGAAATAGGAAGTTGGAAACTAAGAGTTTAATTCCACAGAAATAAAGCTCTGTGGAAGGGCAGAAGCCTAACTTTGATGAGCCAGTTAACAACCCCTGACGGGGCTCACATGGATCATACTTTTCCAACATTGTCTAATTTTCACATCTGTGACTCTACTGAGTCCCTGCTCAGCCCCTTCCCTCCTAATTCCCTTTAAAGATACCAAATCACCTCTTTTCCTTATTGTAATAGTGTATTATTGATTAATACCTGTCCTTACCACTTTACTTAGTGTCTGACTTTTTTTTGCCTTTATATTTCTTTACAACATACAGCATTTATTTCATTAGCCATTCATATTTCCATACCAGTTCTACTTGATCCCTATAAGAACATCTGGGGAAAAAAAAATACTAGTATATCCCTCCCTGACTAGGATTTTATATAAGTAGCAGTAGCAATTTATTTTTTTTAAAGGTTAATAATTTTCTGAGTTTAACATGTTATTAGAAAGGTTGTCTGATTTTTTTTTTCCTTTTGATTCTTTCAGAAAATGCTACAAACTCAATACTCCAGCTCTCCCAGAACTCAGCAGAGGCAGCACAGAGATGATGCCTTGGGGATTAGGAATGATCACACCATGAGAGATTTTAAGGACTGTGAAGAGGAGTAGGGTTTTAAAAAATGTAGTGATCTCAGTACAAAGGATCTGGGACATCAGTACACAGGTGAGAAAACAGAATTCAACACTGGGAACCACTGGCCTGAAGATAAAGACTAAAATAATGATGGAAACACTTGGGTGATCACAGGTGATCACAGGCCTACATCCACCCAGAAGTTAAAACATGTTCACTTGTTAATTTATATCTGGTAAGCACTGAATTTTATGCTGCAAATATTTGTCGATGACTGGTGTATAAGTGTGATGAAATGAGAATGAGAACACTCGATTGAGTTTTCCAAGTTGAATTTATTCATTTATTCAAGAACAAGAGCTGTATTCTTACTTTTTAGGGGATAAAATGTTACTTGTTTATAAAGTTATGCTAATAGACCTTAGCATAATAACCTTAGTTCCAGTTTCCCAGGAAGCCAACACTATAGCAAGGATTTGAGAACAAGTAGTTGATCTGGCTAGTAAAAGGAACGCCACTCAGGGAATGGAGGTCAGGTAAGGAGAAAGGCAACCCAAAGGGAGTGTTATCAAGCCACCCACTTCAGTGACAGGAGCTTACTCCAGCAAGGGAAAGACATACCAGTACACTGTGCCCTTACCCACTTCCTGACATGTCAACATAGATGTATGGCCTGGGGAATGGGCCGCTGAGAGTGGCCTTGAGAATAATTTTATTTATTTTTGCTGTTCTTACCTTGCAAGATGATGTCAATCGATGTTGGTTCCCCATTTACTTTTTCCAACCCTCCCCCAATTAAATGCAAACATCCGAAAGTCTGGGACACTGACTTTCCAGCCAGAGGTTGTACTAGTTGGCAACATCATCAACAGCCTTGGGCAGGTGCCCCTGTGAGCAGAGAGGCAGGTTCTGCAGGCCATTCTGAGGCGGGAGGATGACTCCAGTGTGAGCAATAGAGCCTACCAAAGGATGTCCTCCTGACCCTCAAAGCCAATAAGGAACTCCAAACTCTTGCCTTCCTAATCCCCCTTTTCTCTGATATCTGTTGGTCAGACAACACAGATATCCTTTAGAAAGGAGGAATCGTTAGATACAGTCTGAACATGATTTGCTTAACTCTTCTCTCAGCAACCACTTCAGAAGCTTCTTGTCGTGCCATCCAGCCTTCCTACAGAACTTCCTGAGGGCTGGCCATTGTGACTTCTGCGGAAACACTTATAGTCATCCCTGCGGCCAACAAGATAATTCTCATTCTGTCAGTGGATGTCAAGAAGTGCCTCCCAACACATAAAAATATAAAGTAACTATAATTATTTTTGGAAAGAACATTTTGGGAGGGATGGAGGAAGGAATGATTAGGTATTTAAACAGTAATATGGTAACACTAAAAAATGATTAGAAACTCTAAAATTGTAATACTGTTCTAGAGAAATGAGATCACATCTGTTTAGCTTGCTCTGTAAAATACCTAGAATGGATAACATATTTATATTTAAGAGGAACTTAAGGCCACTATTGAAAACCAATGGTGAATTCCCACCTCTGCAGCAGTGTCCCGCTGGCCTTGCCAGCGGCCCTCAAATGGAAGAAAAAAATTTAACACTTATTGAATAACTACTATGTGTTAGAAATGTACACTTCTCATTTAATTCAACTTTTATAATGACTATGACAACCCAATGAGATGGGCAATATTCTCCCATGGACAGATGAAGAAATCGAGACCTGGAGAACACAGGTAACTTACCAGGCCTCTGACAGCTCACAGGTGTCAGACCTGGTATTCAAACCTAAGTCTAACACCAGACGCTGGCCCTTCACCATTCTTCTATTGCTTCCATCATTTGCCCTGTCTTCTAACACTCTCCTTTAGTCTTCTGCAAGGCATTTGAGACCCAGTAGCTCAAAAGTGATTGTCAGTCCTAATATTTTGTGTGTACGTTTTAAAACAGCATTTAACCATTTTTTTTTCTTTGCGCATAACCAATCTTGGCACTAACTACTAAAATTACTTTTAACTTCTAAAATTGTAATAAAACCTACCAACATAACAAGTCATCGAGGAAATAGTTATGAACACAGTATTTTATTGGTAGCAGATTTTAAATTGCCCCTCTGTTCACAGGCAGGCCCTCTTCTCATCCTCTTCATGGCCTTCAGAGCTCCTCCTCCAAACCAATGAAGTGCCACTGTGAGGAAATGACAACCCGGAGCATTTCTGAGAGGTTTTAGGTGCTGATGAGTAACAAAGCATGAGGGGTGGGCATGATGTTTCTTGGCAGTGAGGACATTTTTAAAAGTTGCTTTTTTCCCTGGCTGGTATGGCTCAGTGGTTGATCATCAACCTATGAAACAGGTGGTCATGGTTCGATTTCCGGTCAGGGCACATGTCTGGGTTGTGGGGTCAATCCCTAGTGTGGGGCGTGCAGGAGGCAGCGGATCAATGATTCTCTCTTATCATTGATGTTTCTATCTCTCCCTTCCTCTTCCTTCCTCTCTCTGAAATAAATAAAAACACACTTAAAAAAATCCTTGTGGAGGAAAACAATATAAAATGTTGCTTTTTAATGTTCTATGCACAGTATAGATCAGTGATGGCGAACCTATGACACGCGTGTCAGAGGTGACACGCAAACTCATTTTTTTTTGGTTGATTTTTCTTTGTTAAATGGCATTTAAATATATAAAATAAATATCAAAAATATGTCTTTGTTTTACTATGGTTGCAAATATCAAAAAATTTCTATATGTAACATCAGAGTTAAGTTAGGGTTTTTCAAAATGCTGACACGCCGAGCTCAAAAGGTTCGCCACCACTGGTATAGATGAAGGCCAATAATCAAATACTTTTCATCATTTTTTTAATTGCAAAAGGTAGATTTATTGGTGCCTTTTAAATTTCTTTTAATATACAATTTATTTTAAAATGCTTTAATATAAACTTTGTGTGCACGTATAATTGAACTTTAATCTCACCCTGGGAGCAGGCCAGATAGCATTTGAAGGACCCCAATCTGGTGGTTAGGTGATGCTTTAAATACGGTCACCTAAATCTACACCAGTGTTAATAAGCGCTAAGGATGTTAATAATTTTTCATTAATGAGAGGAACTTGAAAGATAAGTGATTGCCTAGACTTTTAGAGACAAAAATGCATGAAATGAGGTATAAGAATGTGACAGATCCTGCAAGCTCATGACTTTTGACTAGTTCCTTGAGTCTAGAGCTGTTTGCCCCTCTGCCACCTTCCCCTGAACCTCACACATTTAAGATTATTGCTGATCCATTTAGGTGTCTTAATCCGGCCTTCAGAATATCACTGCTTCTGCTTCACTGTAAATCCCTCAGTCAAGGTGACTGTGTGATTACGAGCAGAGAATCTTCACCAAGCTTTGTGGCCTTGCTTGCTAATATTTGTTCATGTGAAAGAACTGTTTTGCTTTTATTGCATAACCAGGTTATGCAAGGGACATATAGCCTTACCATCCAGTAAAATCTGGCAATTAATCTATCGAATGAATCTGTGATCAGTTATTAAATTGGCCTAGTTAGTCTGCAATGAGGTGGAGAGGAACTAAAAGTCCATCTAGCCTATTCTAGCCTATTCCATGGAGAGGGCCATATTTGATCCTTGAGCACTAGCCTTAATGTAGTGCCTACCACAGACCTCTGTGAGAACTCTTAACTGACCTTCAAGAGCTGGACAGAAAGCAATTTAGCCATTCAGGTCAAGGTCATCCTTTGGCAGTGTCATTCTTAAGACAGAGTTAGCAATTTTATGCCACTTCTAATTAAAACTTGATTACTTAGAAAGCTTTCAGTTTGCTGATTGCTCAAATTTAAAAATATAAATTTGAAAAAAGAACCAAAATAGAACTATTGCTCTAATTTTAAATAAATCTATTCTATACACTGTTCATAAGAAGCTGAGAAAATGTCATTGAGGACAAATGAAGGGCAATTTGAAAACTCAAGAATCAACCTGAGTGAAATTATATGAGAAACCTAAAGGTAAAACTATGTCAAACACATTTGGTGTTTCATGCTGGGTCAATTTAAACAAATAAAACCACTTTGTTGAGCAGATCTTTTTAATGTGATTATGTGTACATGGACAATTGGGTATAGGGAAAACCCCCAAATTAACGTTTTAACAAATTACAGCTACTGTATTACTAAAGACGATATGCTTGGATTTTAAGGAAATAGTCCAATATATGAAGAGTCTCTCATTCAATCTAGATTAACCAACCTCTCTTTGAATAAAAACCAATACACTACAGTGGTAGAAGTTTACTTTTTTATACACTCCACATAAAAACATGTGTTCACTTTCCTTCAATATTTAGTTATTCGTAGCCTCTCAAATGGTAAAATAAAATGGAATTTATATTAGAAAATGAAAGTGCAAGTTTGTACAGCTAAGCTCAGCAGCAACAGTGACGAATGAAAAGTGAAAGCTGATGGATGCCACGCAGAAGGACATTCATAACGGTGTCCTGCAGTGTCCTGTGTGCCAAACACAGTCAACATCCCATCATTTTTTCATTGCTCTTAAACGAGCAAAACCAAATTCTTTTTTTATTTAAAGAAATAGTAAGTCTTTATCCCACCCTCTCCCCCCGCAACATAATTTGTCATCAGGTAAGGCAAAGACAAGTCCCACTATCACTGGGGACAGCAGCAATACACAGACTTTGGAAATAACCCTGAATCATCAGTAACATTCTCTCTTGGTAACATAAGGAATGAATCTAATAAATCCAATCTGCACTGTCAGATTACTCTAATTTATTTGATTAGTTTTTCTGGAAAAACTTTATAAATACATTATTTAAGAGGACAGTAAATTATTTTCTTGCTCTGAAAAAATAATGTTTTTTTTTTCCCCCTTCACATTTAAAAAATGTTTAGTATGCCTTTGGAAAAAGAGATGCAAAAATGTGACTGCTGGGTTTACAGAACGTCCATGTACAAGTTGCATTTACAAGAACCTGGTAATCTGCCTATAATTTGTCTCTACAGATAGAGCTCTTTGCAATATTATTTAAACAAACAGGCTTAATTTAAACACCTCTCCTACTCCCTCTACTTGTAGAGCAAAGAGGTACTTGTTCTTCAAGTATTGTATTGTAAAAGGTAAATTTTTTTGTGCCAATTTTACCTGCTAGCTTTTAAACATCAAAATATCTATGTGGAAAGTCATGCCAAGTCAGCCCATTTCTTTTACACAGAATAAAAAAAACAACAACTTGATTTGCTAAAAGGAGCTCACTGGAAAAAGCCATTTTAAAGTACGGAAGAACAAGGAGCATTTCTTTTTTTCTATTGGCGAAAATTATTAGAAAAGCTATCCAGTTTGTTGTCTTTAGCTGGTTTTAATAAAGTCTTTGTAAAATGATGGTCAGAAATCTTTAGAACACTGGAGGAAGGGGGATGCTCCTTTACAGCATGGAAGGAGTTTCTTTAATTGTAGAAATTCTTATTAAATTTCAGCTTTGGTTCTTCAGAAGAAACGCTCATATAACTTCTATATTGGGAGACAGAAAAAAGAACAGGTTAATATTATTTAAAATCTCATTTAAAGAATACTCTAGTAATTATATCTTACATTTCTAAAACTTTACCATGCTTTAAGAATAGGCAATTTCATCATGATCCACAATCACATATTTAAGTAAATTCTACCACTAATAGGAAAACACATGTCCTTTACATCAAATTAGGCTTTCTTTGAGGTTAAGGATTTACAAATGTCTTTGTATCCTTGGTACCTGATGCTTCCATCTACAAACATATGTTGGAGATTAAATTAATGTCTGTCAATAAATAGTCATGACCCCAAAAGACCTTACATCACTTAAGATCACAGACATTGGATTACTTTCCTAGAGAAGATCTGGAAGGGTGGGCACAGTGAGAACGAATGATAGATAAATCAAAAGAGGATTTAAGGTCTGGCCAGTGAAGCAGAAAGTCATCTTAGATGTTCCTGCCTTCTCTATGAAGCTGCACCAGCAGTGTTTCCACCAACATGCAAGTAACCAGATGGTTCCCAGAGGCTTAACAATCAGAAAGTCAAACCTGGGATGGACCTTACAGTTCCCTTTTACAGTCTAGAAAAGTGGATCACTAAAGTGAAGTTATACTCCCAAGGTCAGTACAACAGAGAAGCAAAAAAGACTTGGTTCAACATTGGCTTTTTCAACAAATTAAAGTGGAAAATTTGTTATAAGTTCACCGATGGAATGTAAAAGAAAAACAATTTGACCACATATAATTTCTTAGTGACTCCATCTAAACATGCTGAATTTGGCCAGCTCAGTTCATAATCTTATATAATAAAGAGCTAATATGCTAATTAGACCTAATAGCTGAATGACCTTCCGGACATCCTTCTGGATGACCTTCTGATTGAAGCTGGGGCTGTCAGGGGCTGTAACAGGCTGTGAGGGGCTGCAAGGGCCAAGCCCTTTGCACGAATTTCATGCATTGGGCCTCTAGTAGTATAATAAAGAGATGCTGGTCAATAGATGAAAGTGATCTGCCGGGAAGAGAAGTTGATAGAATTCGAAGAGATTTGATAAAAGATGGAGCTGGATTTATCCTACTTGTCTTTAAGATTTATGGGGCCATGCTGTTGAGTTGCTATGACCACTAAGTTGGTAACTTTTGAGGTACTCCTTATTTCTTTGGGTCCTGTAAAGCTATTGTTCTTGTATAAAGACTTCAGATCAAATGTGAGTCCCAGAGACAGAGTATAAGAGAGTCACTGGCAGTTTTAACTACAGCTACAGTCACTTAACAAGGAATGGAAGATTCTTGTGCTCCCAGTTCAGAATATGGTCCCATTACCTAAATCGTAACTATCTTCTTACATGTGAAAAGGACAATAGTGTATGATCCAGGTTGCTTAACCCAAACAAGAGAAAAATGATGGGAGAACATGATGGCAATCTTCAAATATTTGAAAATCTGAGAAAGATGGAATAAAAACCAACTAGTTTCTCTAGTGGACAGAACTAGCCCAATGGTCCTCAAGTTACGGTCAGGCATTAAGTGTTTGCCTTTATCTGAACCTTGCTGAGCAAAGGGTGTTGCGCACTGAATTTCCACACGGAATGGGAGACTCAAAGGGGCCCTAGAAATTGCCCAATGCAACTCAAAATTCAATTTCTATGATCCCTGCACAATCTTGTCCATGTGGCTGATTTGGTCCCTTAAAGGACAAAGCGTGCCACAATCACACTGAAGAAGGTCCATGCTCCCTTGGCTGTCACATAGATGTGATGATTACTGAAGGGAATCCGAGGCAAGCTTACCTGCAGTCTGTTGTGTCTGAACACCATCCACCTGAGGCAGGGACCCGAGCGTCCCTTCATCCTCAAAGGCCAAAATTGGATTCAAAGGGATCTCTGGGTTCTCACTGTTGGCGACATCTAATCTGGATGGCTTAGATCCAATAGGTAAGTTTATGATTTCTTCAAAATTTTCATTCTCAAGAGAGACTCCATTTTCATTTGGCTGTTTTTCCAAATTGGGAGTACTGGGAAATTAAAAAAAAAATCAAAATTAAATTGAGCTCATGTTAAAACAAAAAGACATTTTTAAGACAACCAAATATTGTTTTATAACAAATAATTTTATAATTTTACAATCAAAATGTTAGACTGACTGCATCATTACTAACAAAAGTGGTGAATTCTTACATATTTGTATATTAAACTCTTATTTTTAAAAAAATCTGTTCGGAATCAACCAATGAATGAATCAATAAGTGGAACAAATCAATGTTTGCATTTCCACATTACTCTGTCTGATAAAGAATAGCCCTTATGAGGATCGTCACTTCAAAGACAAGAGGATTAGAGTTTGGGGGTCAGAGGGATGATCTGCACAAGGTCACACAACTACAGATAGACAGTCCAGACTGTATGCATGACCTCTTGATCTCTGGTCCTGTGCTTTTCTCATTACACATTCTTTTTAAAAAATACATAATTTTACTGATTTCAGAGAGGAAGGGAGAGGGAGAGATAGAAACATCGATGATGAGAGAGAATCATTGATTGGCTGCCTCCTGCATGCCCCCTACTGGGGATCATGTCTGCAACCCAGGAATGTGCCCTTGACTAGAATTGAACCCTGGACCCTTCAGTCCGCAGGTGACGCTCTATCCATTGAGCCAAACCCCAGGGCTCATTATGCATTCTTTACACTCCCTGACTATTCAAATTCTAGCTCTTCCTGGCTATTCCAACTTCCTAAAACAGATGTATAATTTTATAGGTAAATTGTTTAAGACCAACCTTCTCATCTTTGTCACTTAAATCTTTCTCTGACTCCACCTTGATTCTTATTAATTCACGGTTACTTTTTTGGATTTATTTTTTGAGGTACCTTAACTGGCCATCAAATACTTAATTTTCTACCTATAATTTCTCTTAGATTGTTTACCCTCTTCACAAGCTCCATAAACAAATGGGCAGTTCTTTATATTATATGCTCATTGTTAAGCTTTACAATGCAGTTAAACCATGCCCGTGCAGCAAACAGATGCTCGGTTAATTTCATTGTTCACTTTATCTGACTGCAGCAATAGACATATATTTTCAAGCTTCGTATTTGCTCAGGGCTCAACTCATGTCTCAAAAGTGACCATATCTGACAGACAATATTCCAGACTTTGAAATTCCAAATGGAAAATGAAAAACTTAAAAATATAAAGCAAAAATCGTAAAGGTTTTAACTTCTCATACATACTGATAAGTGAAATATTTAGTTATAGAAAGAGGTCTATGGGAAGAGACAGGCCAGAGACCAGAAAATCAGTCTCTAGTGTCAGCAATGCCAAATGCTTTAACTTTAGCAAGTCATTTCGTCTTTTTCCATCTCCTTCCCAAATGATAAAAGAAAGCTAATGTACATCCAATCTTTACATTGCTGTTTTTGAGGAGTCTTTGCTCCCCCGCCCCATTAGGGAAATATTTGCTTTCCTTAATCAATGAGAAAAACTGATTTTTGTGGAACACATTCTAAAGCATTTCTGACTTGATTACAGGATGGGGCAAAAGTAGGTTCACAAGTGTTCATATGAAAAAGAATA